GGGCCCTTTTTTGATCCCCATTATAGTACGGCCCCTAATATTTAGGGTACCCAAAAAGGGACCATAATTTTGACAACCACCCATATCTGAATCTGAAGCAAGTTGGGGCTTTATGGGATGCTGACCTCTGGGTCAGGGCTGGGAGCTGTAGAGGCATTGTCTCTACTATGGGATGGGCCCTAGGAAAGGTTTAGGGTTTAGGGAACCCTGAACCTGAAACCCTAAACCCCCGCTTTGCAAGGTTCTACTGGCAGACATGGCATCGGCAGTGAACACCGCCACACCCTGAGCAGATCATGTATTTTGACACGTGTATCCCTTGCCTGACCCAGAGTACGAATGATTCTTAGAGGCACCGCCAAAAAGGCACCCTTCATGTTTGGAATCCGTGAATACTTTGGTAGACTGAGCTAAGGTGACGACCCTGCCAACCGGGCAGCAAATGCTGATGGAGCCTGTGACGGGACAGTTCCCCCAGACTGTCACGCCCGTTGGCACAGTGCCTGGTCCAGCCCCTGGCCCCGGCTACATGTACGCTGCACCAACAGGCACGGAAGCTGTGCCCACTACCTTGCCAGAGGTGACCCCTGCCCCCGGCCCGGGCTACATGTATGCAGTGCCAACCGCGGACCCGGTGCCCACCGACCTCGCACCAGCGACCAACCCCCCAGGCCCTGGCTACATGTACGCAGCTCCTGAAGGGTCTGCTCCTATGCTGTATGCAGCGCCCGCAGGGACGGAACCCACTCCCATGCTGTATGCGGCTCCGACCGCAACCGAGGCTCAGCCAGCCATGTATGCTGCTCCTACCACTGAGGGTGCGCCCATGTACGCTGCTCCCACTGGCGAGGGTGCTCCAATGTACGCTGCCCCTGCCGGCACTGAGGGCATGATGTATGCCGCCCCTGCCGGCACTGAGGGCATGATGTATGCTGCCCCTGCCGGCACTGAGGGCATGATGTATGCTGCCCCTGCGGGCACTGAGGGCATGATGTATGCCGCCCCTGTTGGCGAGGCCCCTGGAACCGCCAGCGAAAGCCAGCCCATGCCTCTGCCAGGACAGACCATCATGGGAAACACCTACCAGGCCAGGCATGAAGTCTTTTCATCGAAGGGCTTAGAGTTTAGGGATAAGAAGAAATAATGACAATGGTTCTAAAAGCAGTCAAAACAAATCAGTAGAATGACAGCAATGTCCTCCTCAACAACAACAACTACAGCAACAAAAACAGCAGCAACAACAACAACAACAACAACAACAGCCGCAGCAGCAGCAGCAACAACAACAGCAACAGCAACAGCAACAGCAACAGCAACAGCAACAGCAACAACAACAACAACAACAACGACAACAACAACGACAACGGCAACGGCAACGGTAACGGCAACGACAACAGCAACAACAACAGAAGCAACAGCAACAGCAACAACAGAAGCAACAGCAACAGCAACAGCAGCAACAACATCAGCGACAGAGCCAGCAGCAACATGAACGCCTAGAAAAGAACATCAGCAAGAACAAGAGCATGCCCATGTCGAAGTCTCGCACATACTTTTTTTGAGTGGGTCGAGCTCTAAACACCAAATGCTGAACCCGATCTCTTCCAAGGAAATAACATCACTCCCCCAAATGGGGGTTTCCAAGAATTTGGCTTCCTTTTTTCTGCAATGGTAGCGCCGATGCTAGGGAGTATTTTAGTTCAGGCCACAAGGGGGACCCCTCCTTGGAGGTTGGGGATTACATAGTTGAGTAGCTTGAGATTAAGGGCCTACTTGTTACTGCACTTTCAAACTAATCACAGGATCCACAATCCTTCCAAATGGGATGTTTAGCTTCCTCCACCTAGTATTCAACCCTGTACCCACTCAGTAATGAATACACCCCAAGTACGTACAAGCGCTACGTGGGAGAATTTGTTATTAGAGGGCGAGGGCAATTGTTACGTGGAGCGAGCAAGATGGAAACGGTTGAATCTGTTTTTTTTAATTATGGACGTCGGTCGGCATGTTTGCTTGCTTCAGTTTAGGGAATACAACAGGAGCGCGTTTTGGCTCGAGCTATGTATCAAAGGTTCCTGTGTTGTATCCCTCAAATCGTACCCATGAATGGTTCCCTCAACATATAGTCCCCCTTAAGTAGATAGAATATGGGATATCTGGGGATCTTATCATAATATGCCCAAAGCCATATTCTATCTACTTAAGGGGGACTATAGGTTTCAACCCTCAATCCCCAAGCCCCAAACCCCAAACCCTAAACCCCAAACCCTAAACCCTAACCCCTAAACCCCAAGCCCCAAGACCCTCAACCAAGGGCTGATCAAGCTGGAGGAGCAGACCGAAAGTCAGCAGGAGGACTGGACACAAGGAAGCCTCCAGGTGGATCGTTATATACCCAGAAGGCCCCATACCCCTTTAAGGAAGGAATATACACCTTAAATACTATTAGGATCCCTAATAGAATGTAAGGTATATTCCTTATTTAAGGGCTTTTTGGGCCCGTTTAGGGTGTAGGGTGTACCTTGACGGCGGCTTATATAGATTATATAGCCCGTTACGCTTCTACGAACTTTATGTGATGCTTACATGGGGGTACCCAGCAGATAACGGGTTCAGGGTATTGGGGTCACAGTTGAATATGATGTTTTGTTTTTTTCATGGTTGGGATACCCTAAACCCTAAATCTTTGTTTAAGTTTTGTTTAAGTTTTTAAGGCTTAGAGTTTCAGACTTGTGCCTCGAATGTGGGATCGCGCGACTTCAAGGATCATGTGAGGAATCCAGAAGAATACGTTGGCTCATAGAAGGGTCAACCGCCGCAGCCTTGGACGACCACGACAGCGACGCCGCCGCTGCCGAGGAGAAAGTGCCCGCCGACAACGGGGAGTATTGCGTCGCCCACTCCTACTGCCTCGGCAGCAAGAGAGGCGCCTACGCCCAGTACTAGTTCATCGAGGGCAGTGTCGCCCTGTACGGCATTTGGCGCTGTACAGGTGGGGAGTTCCCAAGCGGGGACCGTGCATAAGCCGTGCATACCCTAACACCACTATATAGCATACCGTTGATATTAACTTCCCCAAACCTTAAATCAGAGGCCCTAAGCCCTAAACCCTAAATCTCAAACCCTACACCCCCAAACCCTACGCCTAAATGCCAAACTCCAAACCCTGCATCCCACACCCTACTAGTATTGGAAGCTCCCCTCTTGCAATAGCTAACGAGACGGTCGTACAACATCCATTTGTTTTGGGTTGGCGGGTCAGGGTTTGAGGGGTTTAGGGTCTAGGGTTTTAGGGTTTAGGGTTTAAGGGGTTTAGGGTCTAGGGTTTTAGGGTTTGGGGTTTTAGGGTTTAGGGTTTAGGGGCTTAGAATTAGGGGTTTGGGGCCAAACAGAAATTCTTGATCCCTTAGCCACCCTGAACCCTAAACCCTAAACACTAACCTACCATAAGCCTTGAACCCGTGACCCTGTACTCGGACTGCGTGGCAATCCAGTTGTCGCTCGTCAAGAAGTTGGACCGAGATCCAGGATTTGTGGCTTAGGGCGTTTAGGGCTTAGGGTTTAGGGGTTATGGGTTTTAGGGGTTTTGGGGTTCAGTGCTCTGAATTGTTGACATTTCGCTGGAGAAGATACACGTACCCAGAACCCCTGGAGGATCCCCCCAAAAAAACGGACCCGTCCACCCCCAAAAAACACACAAAAAAAACACAATGACTCTGTTACTACATTGGGGGAAAGTAGGGAGTTATTGGGAGGCTCCATGTTTCGGATCCTGGGTCAGGATCTTCGGGCTTTAGATATGGGTTAGGTGGACCCCCCACCCAGTAATAGAGACTGTAGGGGATAATAGGGATTGTACTAGGCTCCTCTTATATTCCTATTATACCACTATTACAGGGTGGGGGGTCCTCCTAAGATATGGGTTTTAGTAGTCTTTGTCCAGGATCATTCTAGCGTGTAGGAAAGGGTTTAGTTTTGTAATTGGCCCTGGGAGAAGATTTCAAAATGGAGGTGTGGTTTAGGGGTTAGGGTTTAGGGTTTAGTGTTTAGTGCTCAGGGTTTTGAATTCCTTGGTATATATACTTGCAGGTTCAGGGTATTTATAATCCAAGTAGACCTGCATTTATAGCCCAACTGTAACCATTTAACGTGACTTGGGCTTATGCTTGGGTTATAAGTACAGTTCTAAGTAGGCTATACCTCAGAACCCATAGCCAAACAAAAAAAGCTACCCTAACCCGAAACCCTAAACAATAATCATCTTGGACCTGACCGACTCCCTAAGTAAAAACGCCCAACCTTGACATCCCAAGTGCGGACTTACTAAACCTCACACCCCAAGCCCTTAAACACTAAACCCTTACCCTTAAAGCACTTAAACCCCTGACCCAAAATCATAGACCCGAAGCCCCAAACCCTAAACCCTCAACAACTAAAGCCAGAAATTTACGCAAGATGGGAAGGAGCTCCGGAAGATGTCTCGCCAGCAGCTTCGATGCGAGGTGCAGCGGCTTTTGGGGGTCCACTATGGGCTATTAGACCTTAAGGGTACCTTAATCTACCCTTAATAGGGTCCTAATAGGGAATTTTGGGGTCTAATAGCCCATAGTGGGTGTAGGGTTTGGGGTTTAGGTTTCGGGTAGCTTTGAGGGTGTAGGGTTTTCCGGCTTTTGGGCTTCAGGGTTTAGGAGTTAAGGTTGTTTAGGGATTAGGGCCTATAGTTTAGGGTAGAAGAGGACAGATCTCAAGGTATGACTAATGATGAAGAGCCTGACGGGCAAGAACATGCACAATGAAATGGATACTGGGGTTATATAGAGGCTCAGAAGTTTCTACGGCTCAAGGCTAAGTACAACAAAGTCCAAGTTGGCAATAGGATCCTACAGTCTGCTAGAACCACCATGATGGGCAACACTGGTGTTTCATATGATACGTACCTATCTACACGTTTTGCAAGTTTCGGGGATGAGGGCCGGTTGAGTGTTTAGGCTTTTAGGCTTCAGGATTTAGTGAGCTGTAAACCCTAAACCCTAAACCCTAGGATATTTCGTTGGTTCCCCTCCTTCACTACGCTCCCCCGGCACTTGCTTGATCTGGGTTGTTGTTAAGGAACTTAAGTTAAGTTACTATATTGGGGGGGGGTTTAGGGTTTAGGGTTACTTTATTGGGGAAACCCTATTATTTACTATATATACCCATTATGGTAACTTAGTTTAAGTTCCTTAACAGCAACCCAGTGATGGGCATGAAGTAGCCCTCAGTCAGATTCATCAACGGGGAACCTCGGGGCGGAAGGGTGGGGAAAACCTAAACCCCAAACCAGAAAACCGTAATCCCTCAACCCTAAACCCGAATCCCCAATCCCTAAACTTGAATCCCTAAACCCTAAAACGGCGGGCCATAAGATGTCAGGGTGGGAGAGGCCGCAGAGTTGGAGATTTGTAGGTTGGTCTCAAAAGTCGCAGTTGATGTTGTGGGCTGGCTTCCGTCTAATCGGGAAGCATTTGTTTAGGGAGGGAGGGGTGTCTGCAATTGTTGGAAAGGGATTGCCGCTTCTGCATAAGGCCCCCCGTCAACGGAAAGATGCTTTAGCCAGAAATTGCGGAGGCCTAAGCGGGCTTTAAAATGCTGTTCCCCCCATATTCAGAGCTCTTACCCTAAACCCTTATAAATTCTAAACGTGAAAAATATCCTCGGAGAAAAGGCAACAAAAATAGGGTTCAGGGTTTGCTTAGGTGCCGACATACAATCTTAAAGCTAGGGCCTTACAACCCCTGCATAATCGAAGTCTTCGTGTCACTTCCAGTGGATGTTCCATCTGGTTTGGGCACTGGCCCCCACCCAGTAACAGTCTAAGATAGGGGT